AACAAACAAACAAAAAAAAGATTCTAATAATATGCTTCTAAAACTACATCTTCCCTGGGAGACTGAGGCAGGTGGATTGCCTGAGCAAGAGTAAGACCCCATCTCTAAAAAATAGCCAGACATTGTGGTGGGCTTCTGTAATCCCAGCTACTTGGGAGGCTGAGGCAAGAGTATCATTGGAGCTCACGAGTTTGAAGTTGTGAGCTATGACGCCACAGCAGTCTACCCAGGGTGACAGAGTGAGACTCTCTCTCAAAGAAAAGAAAAGAAAAGAAAAGAAAGAAACCTTCAGCTTCCCATGCTTCACTGTGCAGACTAGGATTCAGTAAATCTGCATTGTCATAATCACTTGAGAAAACATTTTATTGCTTAGATCTGGGGAAAAGAGGAAGGACTGGCTAAAAAGACCTAGGGAATTAAAAAAAGAAATGGGATTGCATTTATTTAGTAAATCGAGTGGTGCTATTTGTCTGTTTATATTTAACGATATTTTAGGTATCTGAACTCCCTTCTTTTGGATATCCCTGAATATAAACATTCTTTTACCATTGGTATGAAGCCATGTCTAGCCAGTGCCCCCAAATGTTCTTGGTGTTTTTCCTATGATATATCTGTCATAGTCATTCCTTCATTACACTGTCGAGACTCATGTCTGGATATATCAGTTAGCTTTCTCTGGGTAATAACACACCACCCTAAAAATAGTGGCTTGAAACAACAGCCATTTATTTATCCTATGATCCTAGGGGTCGCTGGTTTGGGGCTGGGCTGCTTTCCTCTTGGCTGAGCACATTCATGCATCTGGTCAGGCTGGGACAGGCTCTCGTCCAGTAGACTAGGCTGCTCAGGAACATGGAGGCACAGCAGGGCCAAGTGCAGCCAAAGGGCAAGCCCAGTGCACAGATGCTTTTCAGATCTCTGCTACATCACCTTGGTAACATTAAATAGATAGTCCAGAGCAAGGTAGAGCCAGCCAAGATCCAATGGGTGGAGGAATGAATATACCCTGCCTCTTTGGGAGGATCTGCCAGGTCACATTGCAGGGGCATGTACAAAGGGAGAATAATTGCACCCAATTTTACGCTCTACTGGTTTATCATATCTCCCTCTTTACAAGCTTTTCTGATTATAGTCTTGCTGCTCCAACCCATCCTGCTTCTTGCTGCCATGTGCACTTTCTTTAAACACTGCTTTCATCATATTATATCCTTGTTCACAAACCCCTAGAGGTGTCTTCTTTCCCCACTTTATCTGCTATAAACTCTTCTGCCTAACTTTCAAAGGTCTCTAAGCTAGCCTGACTTAAAAGCAGAGGCTGTACAGTACAGGAAAAAAGAACTAGCCATAGTCAGGGAAAGCTTTTATGCTAGTTCCAGCTGGCCTCTAACAGACTCAAAACCTCTCTGGGATTCTGTTTCTCCATCTATAAAATGAGAGAGTTTGGACTCAATCTGTGAGGTTCTTTTCAAATTTAAGATTTTGGCTGAGGCTGGGCACAATGGCTCCTGCCTGTAATCCCAGAACTTTTGGAGGCCAAGGCAGGAAGATCTCTTGAGCCCTGGAGTTAGTGATCAACCTGGGCAACATGGTGAGATCCCATCTCTAAAACCATATAATATGTGTGTAAATATATAGGCTGAGTATACTTATACATATCTATTTCTTGTTACTCTGCAAAAAAAATCAACTGTAGTTAGACCAGTTTTCTTATTTTTCCATTGAACATCCCATGTTTATGTCACTCTTGTGCTCTCATCCCCGCATTTTCTCAGCCCTTTACTTTCTCCACTGTTTTATTTTTTTT